GTTGTTTTTCTATTTTTATTTATTTTTTTTTAAATAAAAAAAAAAAATTATCTTCCAAAATTTACTAATAATATTTGCTCTCTGTATTCAGCTTCGTGCGCAGCAAAGTCAACTTGGCCTCCTCACAACCCATACAACGCGAGAAACCGCCGCAAATGGCACACTTCTACCTGTGGGGCTCGAAGCAGTTGAATGCCGCTTATTCGACTCAATATGGCCAATACACCGGCTTCATCGGTGCGCCACATTTTCACGCCATGTGTCGACTACTCGGCTATCAGGGCATCGCCGTCGTTATTGACATCATACTAAAAGATATTGTGAAGCTGCAAATACAGGGCACGCTGCTGCAATTCACCAAAACCCTAATGGGCGCTATGCCGAAGTCGTGCAAATTGCCGCGCTGCGAATATGGTTCGCCGGGCGTGCTCAGCTACTACCAGGCGCATCTGACCGATATCGTGCAGTATCCCGAAACTAAAACCGATCTTTTCCAGTCCTTCCGCGAGCTGGGCAATTGCATTATATTCTGCTTGCTCATCGAGCAGGCGCTCTCGCAAGAAGAAGTGTGTGATCTGCTGCATGCGGCGCTCTTCCAGAATATATTCCCGCGTCCGTTCTGCAAAGGTATTATTGCTTAATGCTTCAATATTTTTTATGCATTTTCAATTGTCTACAATTCTTCTGACAGAAAATGAAAAGCCCGAGGCCAAGCAGAAGCGTTTCGAGGCGCAATTCGCAAACCTGCAGATCGTGTCGAATGTGGAGAAAATTGGCAATGCAAAAGTGAGTGTTCAATACTATTATTTTTTTTATATTTATTATTATTCCATACTCCCAGCAAGCGATGATCGCGCGTGAAGGCGATTTACTAACACGCGAGCGTCTCTGCTGTGGCCTGAGCATTTTCGAGGTAATACTCAATCGCATCAAAAGCTATTTGGACGATCCCGTTTGGAGCGGGCCACCGCCGGCTAACGGCATCATACACGTTGATGAATGCTCGGAATTCCATCGTTTATGGTCGGCATTGCAATTTGTCTATTGCATACCGGTACGCGGCACTGAGTACACCATCGAAGAGCTCTTCGGCGAGGGCTTGAATTGGGCCGGCTGCGCCATGATCGTACTGCTGGGTCAACAGCGACGTTTTGAGGCTTTAGATTTTTGCTATCACATTCTGCGCGTWCAACGCGTCGACGGCAAGGACGAAGACGTCAAGGGCATTGTAAGTGMRAAGGAAATTTAATTTTGTATTTACAYTAAAGTGAATTTGCTTTTTGTAGAAACTGAAACGCATGGTCGATCGCATTCGCCGCTTCCAAGTATTAAACTCACAAATCTTTGCTATACTCAATAAATATCTGAAGGGTGGCGACGGCGAGGGCTCGAACGTTGAGCACGTGCGCTGTTTTCCGCCGCCACAGCATCCGACAATGATTTCGTCGCACTACCAAGATCCGAACAAGCTGCGTCAGAGCATGACGAACAATTGAGCTAATACACCACTCTAATTATTAACCTCTATCTATAACTATTATTAATTATTAACATATTATTATTAATATTATAAACTATTGTAACGGTATGCTAGGTACACATACATATAAGCATAAACTTTAATGAATTTATAAAATATTTCGTATGTATTAGTTAAGCAGTAGGCATTTCGTTCAATTTAAAACACACACACGTACACACAAAATTCAGTATAATATACAATATGAAAGAAACGAATACTTGGAATACACAAACAATGAACAATTCTCTCAAATTCAAACAAAATATTTATTTATACAAACAGTACTCTAGTATTAAAGCATTTAAATTTGCAATTTGTCATAAAAATACAACAAATTTACATGCAATTGATTGGCTATTGTATGCTAGGCGAAGTGGTGGGGCGTGAGTTGATTAGTAGGCCAAAGATTACGCAACAAAAACAAAAAACGGGCAAACAAAAAGAAAATGTATTTGGCTTTAAATAGCAAACCATGTTTACAACAATAATAACAATTACAATAATAACCATTTATTTACACACACATTATTATGTAGTACCGTTATGCCGCAAAAAGAAAAAATTACAAAAAAGTTCAAATTGTTTCAACCGCAGTCTGAGAGCAAAATGATGAACATAATGTTAAGCAGAGCAAGTACGCGTGCGCATAACAACTGCATTTACGTCAAATTAATAAATGACACTGAGTAAGCAAATTATTATTCGAAATATTTAAAAACTGCTGATAAATAAACGTTTTACACATTTTCTAACAAAACGAAGGTTTTTTGTGTGCGAATGGGATTGGATTGTTGTTGTTGTTGTTCTAGCGGCTAATTCCCGTTAAGATGGGGTTAGCGAAGTTTTCGTCGACGTCATCTGACGGAAAATCCAAGAAACGTGCTGTTCCGACGGGGCCGGACTAAAGTGAAAAGGTTGTTAGATGAGTGGTGTTGGTGGGGCGTGCAAAGAGGTGACCAGGGGCATGTGGAGACTCAGTGCATTTATTCTAGATAAGTAGGAGTTTAACCTGCTGCAGTATCGAGAACGAAGCTGCGCAAGGGTCACGCTCGTTTCTGGCGGCAACTTTTGTTGATTGTTGATTGTCTGATTGTGTGCCATTCACTGAAAGGGAATCGGTGAAGGTGTTGACGGCTCCACTGTGAATTGCTGTTAGTGCTTGTCGGAAGGGTCATCGTACTGTCTAATGTCATCGACGTAATTGCGGAATGACTTCTGTCCTAGGTGGCGGTTCTGCTCCCAGCAGGTGACTGCAGGGATGATTTCTGCGAAAGCATCCTGGAGAGGAGATCATTATGCTGCTTAACTGGGATCATATGCGCCTCACTATGTATGTGTTCGATAGGAGACATCAAGGGGCTTCCTGTCGTAGTCCGAAACGCAGTGTTCAGACAAGTCTGAAGCTTCTTCATCTGCGTTCCACTGCATCCAGGAGACGATATTGGTGACGGCGTGGTTCAGGACCGGCCGGCCGATTGCCTTGTATGTTACCAACAACGTTTTTTTTTTTTTTTCATGTGCTGCCGGCTAGCGACTTGAGCATTTTGTTGCTTCTCCGAACTTTGGCGATAATCGCCGTCGTATGAGGAGTGAAGAAGCATATACTACGAAAAGTAGCATCTAAAATCAAAGGATTATTGACAGTCGCAATATTGACGCCATCGACTGCAATATTAAGGTCAAGCCTTTACTCCTTCTTCCAGTTTGTAAATATGGTAGCCGTGTGAGGAAGATGGGAGAGATAGCCGTTTAACTTTGAACACATGCCATCAATTCTATTGCCCGACGTCAATATCGTTTAATCATCGACGTATGAGGTTGTGGAAACTGCCTCTGGTGGCTGTGGGAGTTTCGAGATATAAGAGTGAATCAGTAGCGGGGAGAGTGAACCGCCCTGCGGTACCCCTTCTCAGTTTAGAATTTGTTCCTCGAAATAGTACGGATGATTGACGACCGCTTAGATAGTTTATGGTACATCTCTTCAGTCCTGGAAGGAGCGTAGGTTTTCCAATGTCCTGCAGTAGCGTCCAAAGACTTTTAAAAACTTTACAAGGATCGTTCTTTTACAGTCTGTAGATTCTATCAAACAAGTTTCACCAGAGATTGTACAATATTATGCTCACCCTCCCCAAGACATTAACTGGCAATTTATCCCTCCAAGTGTTCCTCATATGAGTGGTTCATGAGAAATAGCTGTAAAAAACTTCAAATCCCACTTAAAAAAAAACAGCTGAAAACTACAAATTAATTTTGAAGAATGTACAGCATTATTAACTCGCGCTGAAGTCGTTCTCAAAGCAGGGCCACTAACGACACTATCGCAAGATCCATCAGATCTTACAACCTCAGGGTACTTTCTCCGGTGGTGTCGCTATCCTTACTAAATATATGGGAAAATATGAAATAATTAAAATTCGCCATCATGATTTCAGCCGCCGATGAAAGGAGGAGTGTATAAAGGACCTTCATAAAATGTACTGCTGGAAAACTCCCTTGAAGGCACCAAAACTTGTAGAGTAATTGGCCATCGTACTCAAAACGGAACGTTAACTAGACCTCTCGTTAAACTATGCTTCCTACCAAACGCAGATAAAAACGAAAATGCAAGTAATAAACAATCCGTATAATAATACCGATATGAAGAAATTGTAACATCCGTCCAATAACTAAAACCTAATTAAACCGTAAATTTAACAAATCACAAATATGATGAGTAGACTTGTTGGTAGACTAGTTGGACCCCGACAAACCAAATGAAGTTGGTTACATGTAGCAATATCTTCATCATTTATACAATTGAGTTGGTTAATTCCAACTCCCCTTTTCTCCATATAGGTAGATATGAATCCAGATATTACCCCAACTCCAATGCCAACATTGCGATCGGTCATCATTGTGCCTCGTCCTGGGGTTGTCCCAACAGCGGCGTCCCGAGCAACCACCGCAACCGCACCGTCACCACTAGCGGAGCCCTATCGCATCATACTCATCACGTCTTTACTGGTATCCGATCAAGGAGTTATTTCTTTTTTGCATAAAATAACTCATCAAGTTATTTTGGAGTTTATATGTAGTACTGTGATCAAATTTCAATTTTGTCCATTTCATCTCCTTCAAAGTAATCCCCTCCAGCTGCAATACTCTTATGCCAACGAATTTTTCAGTCATCATGGAACTTGGAAAAATTCTCCATCGTGATGTCCATCAGAGCATTCTTCGATTCAACTTTCATATCCTCAATTGAGTCAAAACGGTGTCCTCGGAATGGTCATGTGAATTTGCTGAATAGCCAGAAGTTACACGAGGGTAAATCAGGCAAATGCAGTGGCGGCGGCACGGTATTAGTTGAAAATGTAGCCAAATGATCACGAATAACCAATGCAGTATGAGATGGTGCATTATCGCACCTCTTTGTTCAATAAATACAGACATAGTAAATATCGAAGAATTCACTTTTAGAGCCTCACAAAACGACGCGAAAAAAAATTTACCGCTTCGAAAAGGTCACAAAGTATAAATTAAAAATTGACCTTTCAATTTCCCATAACTTGTTTTTTCTTAATGTCTGTTATTTTCTTGCCATTTTCAAACACAACGAGGAGCGATAAAGAATGACGAGTACGGAAGTTTATGGAAAAAAACACGGTCAGTCGCACGCTACCGAGCACTGAACAGGTGAAATAACAAACTTTTATGAAATATAATATCGAATTTTATTAAGATAAATTTTAAACTTAATAAAATTAATCTTAATGAATAAAACACAAATTGTGGGTTCTGACCGGGAAAATTATGAATAAAATTTTAAGGTGTGCTTGGAAGTTTTTTCGAATATTTTATCGTCCGCTGTATTAGTCAGCGTCGGTAAACTTACAAACAAAAAGTCGAGTGTCGACAAGTGATAAAAATTGCTAACAACAAACAAAAAAACAAGCGTATTCAAACGGTAAAACGTTTGTGAGCATCCATCCAACGCACAAAATTATTTTTTTTCAAAAAATATATAAAAAGCGTCTTTAAAAGCTCTTTGAATTTCATAATTTTCAAATATTAATTTTTGCAACACTCGAAAGCTCGGTAAGCGTCATCAAACGCTCATTTTAAAAGTAAGGGCAAAAAAGCGACAAGTATATTTCAATCTTGTGAAATAAAAATCCACCGAAGAAGTGTTAGTAACGAAGAATAAAAGGCGATAGTGTGGAGGAAAAATCCGTATTACTAAACGATGACGTGTGAATTGAAGAAGTATTTACCAGTAAAATAGCGAATTTGAAGTTTACATCGACCGGCAATTTGAAACTAACAAAAGTTGAATATTCATAGGCACGACAGTACTAGATAAAGTCAATATGAATGTAAAGCCGGAAAGTGCCGAACTCGTAGATATGATTAATGTTGGACAGGATGCGCAAGAAAGAGAAAACGAGTTACTAGAAGAATTTCAGGAGATATAATATGTTCGAGGGCAGGAGAAAATACCGATAACGCAGTTATTAAAGAATTGATAAATAGTTATAAGCCCCAATGTATTGAAAATTTTCAATATAAAATGCAGGTCCACGAACAGTATATTTAGTAGACAGAAACTTCGTAAACTAGCAAGTGGAAAATTGGCTAAAAGCTGACATTATACAGTCAAGTTTTTCAAATTATGCATCTCCAGTTGTTATAGTAAAACGGTAAACACGGTTATGTCGCGATTACAGATTCTTAAACAAGAAATTTGTTCAGGATAACTTTCCCATTATCACGATGTGGGACAGTTTCGGCATGTTTACGAAATCGGTCTTAGAGGATGGAGAATGTCATGTGCCTATAGCTGAAGATTCGATGAAATATTCAGCATTTGTTACTCGAACTAAGACGAAACGATTGGTTCAATTCATTATTCCATCCAAAGACGTCGATGAAGGGATAATTAAACTGAGACAAGTTTTAGAAGTAGCATCGCTATACGGGGTGCGAATCAATTGGGAAAAGTGTGAATTTTAACAGCTAAAAATTTAAATTTTTGGATATGAATGGTATTAAAAAAACAGTCAGTCAACCCGCGGAAGAGCACTGAGCAGGTTAAATATTAAAATTTTGTTAAAAGAAGTTGAACTTTTCTTTTTTAAATAAACTTTAAACGTCAACTTAATAAAATAAAATTTAATAAATAAAGTACGAACCCACGTAAATACAACAAATTTGTATACGATTGTTTGGTTAATGTATGCAAGGCGAAGAATTATGCGTCTAATCATTGAATCCGTTTTGATCGAAAAACTTACCGACTCGATCGAAACAAATTACCTTGAAATCATTGAAACCGTATCGAAAACAAATTTTCTATGAAAACGAGTTCACTTACTGACTCGTTATAATACATATCGTGGCTAATAGGTGGCGCTGATTTCCAAAACACTGAAGCCACTGAAGATCAGAAAGTTTAATATCAGTCGCCCCTCCATAGTTTCTACCATGAAAACCCAAAATCCAACAGAATTTTTAAAAACTGTTGGTATTATGAAATTGTCAACAAATAATATGAGGAATTCGATCAAAACCAGCTTTTACCCAAAAATAAATTCATAATATTCACACTGTGCATCGCTGATAAATACTCGTAAATGCTACAAGTGCACTTCCGCGTGCATCTCAAGCCTTATCAGACAGCTTATGAGCTCATATTATTGCATTGTTGTTGTAGAGTTTAGTGCTGCTTATCAGAAAAATATAGCAGCCGGAGGCTTGACGCACTAACCTTGACTTTTG